TTGCTAAAGAGCGCTCATAATTTATGGAAAGCTTCTGTTTGGAGATCAACTGTCCCTATGTGTAGAGCTTACCCAGTAGAATCACAGTTTATCTGAGACTTAGGAAGGCACATGTCCACAGGTCAACTGTATGCAACGACATTTCCATTTATTAATATCTGGCTTGTGTATGAGTTTCCTCCTTTTTAACCCTATACTTTGGCTGCTGTGCTTCCTCACAACTATTAATACTGAAAGTTATGTATCTAAAGCCATCTTCGAAGCAAATCTTCAAGCTCACTAGTCTTTCTTTCTCCATATTCCCTACGTTGGCCATTATTACTTAAAAAGGAAGAAAAGTCCCAAATTCTGCAATAAATAAATAAATTAAAATCCCGATGTGCAAAGACTGTTTCCAAGAGAAAGATTGGACCCAAAGCATGTGTCCTCTGCTCTCCTGAGCAGTGATTTTAAATTTTGGTTTTTATGTATTTTGTTCTGTGTGTTTTGCTATGTTTGTAAGCGGTCTTGAGCGCCATGAAGAAGAAAGGCAGCTCAGAAATGTTTTAAAGAAAGAAATACTTGTGTAATAGGGCCCCTGCATAAAACACTGCCCATGGGAGTCAGGCATCCTCAAGAAACAACAGCAGGCACATGATGGCCATACAGTGAAGGGGAATCAGTAGGGTTGCCAAGTCCCATTGTAGCTGCAGCGGGGGGAGTCCTGGCCCTTTCTGGGAGATCCTTGGTGCACACACTTTGCATGCATGCCGCTATGATGTCACTTCCGGGTGACGTCATCGTGTCGGGCACATTGGGGACAGGACCACTATCATTCGAGGGAAAACCATAGAGTTTTCCTCGAATAATAGAGCGTCCCCCCACAACGTGCCCGATGCGATGATGTCACCTCAAGGTGACATCATCATACTGGGCACGTCTCCACGATCCCGACAATTTGGGGGTGGGGTTCCCACCGGCAGCCCAATCTGGGCCGGTGGGTAATGGACCCCGCCCCCCTGGGGAACCTGGCAACCCTAGGAATCATGCAAAAATAAATCCACAAGAACTGTGCACAGTGCACTCAATATTTCTTTAACAAAAATCGTGAAGTTATGAATATGAAAGTACAAAAGTAATAATAATACATTCAAGTTATGAAATCAGGTACATAAAGATAGAAGGTGACAACGACGGGACGGTAGTCTCCGGAATGCAGTGCCGTTTCGACAGACGTCTTCTTCTAACCAATAGTCTATAAGTTGATAATGTATGAAAAATTGCACTTCAATGGAAAAGCTGCCCAATTCACATAGAGTTTGAGAACAGTTTCACCTATTACATTGCACAAATAATGTGCAACGTTTTTCTGAAGCCTGAAAGACCCTAATTGGCAATATAAGTATAATACAGTCCTTCAGATATATAATTTGCTGGATGTTATGATATCAGGTACATAAAGATAGAAGGTGACAACGACGGGACAAATAATGGAGGAGAACATCTCTCAGACAGATTAAAGCTGGCCATTAATAGCGTAAAGGGTCCTACCAAACATCTTTACGCAGCCTTCGTGGACCCTGCCGCAGCTTTTGATTCAATAGACAGAGACAGGCTCTGAGTTAAGCTGGCAAATACTAATATCAACAAACATCTCCTGTACCTGATCAAGGAATTATATACTAATACCTCATCTAAATAAGTGTGGGTTTTACAGGATCCCTGACCGACAGCATTCCCGTGACTAGAGGCATGAAGCAAGGCTGCCTACCTGCTCCTCTCTTATTCAATCTTTATATTAATGAGATTATTGTGAAGCTTTCAGGCGCTGATCTTTTTCCTCCCCATCTTGGGTCGAGAAAGATCTCAATCCTTCTTTATGCCAACAACATGGTCTTGCTGTCCTTAACTCAAACTGGCTTGAGAAGGTCCGTGTCTAGGCTTAGTGCTTTCGGCAAGGAGGAGCACCTACAAATTAACTACTCAAAGACTAAGGTGATGGTCTTCAGGGAGCAGCGGCACATTTTTAGCTGGACAACAGATGGGTTTCTGATAGATCAAAGCCGAACCTTTAAATACTTGGGTATTACCTTTAGTGACACGCTTTCCTGGAAGGCACATACAGACATAAAATCAACAGCACTTTGGGCTATGGGGGCAATCCTTAAACTCCACTTAAATAAATTGGACCCCTGCTCCACATCTGGAAAAGTTATAACTTTACTTGCAGTTGTGGAGCCAGAGTATTTGTAAAATGTTGCACTTCTTTGCAAAGAAAATTCGAATCAAGCTGACTAAATCTTTGCCTGCTAAATAGCCAGGGCTACATCATGGTATATAAGGTCCTTACTCCAAACCCTTTATTCATTCTGTATGTTTTAGTTTTTTATCTTATATTATTTTAATGATGCAGCCAACTTTATGCTTGTCACATATCTTATATTTTTAATCCCTGTGTTTTAACGCTGATTTTATTCTTTATTTTATAGCTTCTGTTGTATTGTTCTGTATTTGTAATGGCCATTGGCCATATGCAATAAATTGGAAATTGAAATTGAAATCGATATGCAGGAAGAGTTAGAGAAGGACAGATCCCTGGAGTGAGAGGACAGCAAACACACCTGGCTCGTGCAGCTGTACTAGCTCTATCCCAATTAAATGCCTTCAATGTAATCAGTCTCCAAGCCTCATATTGAGCTATACTGTTAAGCATCAAGAGAGGGAGACCAAGCAGTTCCAAATTCTTATCAACCTAAGCCAAGTATTCCTATAGTTATCCTCCTTCAACAGGTGTAATGAGCCGCTAGATGATGGAGTAAAGAAGAAAACCTTCAGCCTTAGTTTAGAAAACAGCCAGCCATGCTCTTCGTTTGACAAAGCATTGCACCAGCTCCCACCTAAGCACTGTTCCTGCCATGCATCTGGGGGCTCTGAGTATCCAGGGTATAAATTGGATCGGTATTTTATCTATAAGTTTGGAAGCTTCAGTTATCCAGATGGCTGCCTCTATAAAAACTGGGGTATTATTTTTGCACTGAAAGCTCTAATAGACATCTGTATAAACTGACCACCCATTGAAAAATAGAACCTGAGAAGTGCATTGATATTTGGTCTAGCGATGTCTTGAGCTAGTTTAAGTTGTAATTTTCAAGATAAATTGTGACTGAAAGTCACTCCCAGGTATTTAAATTGGGTCATAAGTTCTGTTTTATCATCTTTAATTTCCCATGCTTTCAGATTTTGGCGCAATTTTTTATGTAAAGACCATAATTTTTGATTTATTATAGTTTACTGAGAGCCCCTCTTGTTTACAATACTTGGTGAAAGTGTTGTTTTCTGAAGGCCAGCTTCAGATCTTGATAACAAGACTGCATCATCTGCAAAAAGCAGATGGGAATTTCTCGGCCGGCTAATACAGGTGCACGTAAAGCATATTTTTAATATAAGGCACCATATCATTTAAGTAAAAATTAAAAAGTGTGGAGTCCAGTAAACATCCTTGTTTTACCCCTTTTGCAAGATGAATATAATTTGTAAACTGGCCCTCCGGTCTATAATGTATCTGCACAGATGGCCATAAAAGTCTTTAATTTATTGTGAATATATTTAATTTGATCCACAAATGAGATCTAGGGACAGAATCAAAGGCGGTTTTTAGGTCCATAAATGCAGCATAAAGTCACCAGCTTTAGATGAATATTTCTTGGCTAAATGATGGAGGCAGTGATCCAAAGAAGAAACACCTCTTCTAAAACATGCTTGCTCAAAATAAAGAACCTTGTCAGCTTCTAGCCAAGTCAATAACTCAGAGTGAAGGAAGGCCACATATTTTACCCAGGGTTGAAACCAAGCTAATTGGCTGATAATTAGCTGGATAATTTCTTAGGCCTTTTTAATACATTGGAACAAATACCTTGTGTTTCCATGAAGCCGGAATAACCCCTGTTTTGTTCATTTGGGTTTAAAAAGGAGCCAGAATATTGCTCCACCCAACTGAATTTAATTTCAATAGATCAATCGGAACCAAGTCCAGTCCAGGTGCTTTTCTCAAACACATTCGTCAGATTAGTTGGTTCACAGTCTCTGGCGAGACAGGAGGTCAGAAATCAGTTAAATGGGGTTCAATTTGCACAGTTTAAGAATCAAAATTAGGTGTCTCTCTAAAAATAGAAGTAAAATACTTCTCCCAAGTTGCAGGTGTAATACACTCTGAAAAATTAGAGCCTGTGGATAAGCCCCTATTAATTATTTTCCAAAAGGCTTGTAAATTATTACTACAAGTGGCTGCTATTAACATCTCTCACTGATTTTGCTGAGCTGCCTGTTTTTTGCATTTAGTCATTATACTAAATGTTCTTTTTAAAGAAATAAAATTAATAAATGATTCTGAAGCTTAGTATTTCTAAACAGCTGTAGTTTGGACCTCATACATTCTGTATCAAACCACTTATTTCTGCAATCAAATCTACGATGAGAGGAAATCTTAACATAAACTGATTTTAAAAGGTCTAAGATGTTTATTAATTGGTTAAAGAAAACTCGTGTATCTTTCTGCATTAAAAACTCCTTAATAAAAAAGCTACACACCTCAGAATCCATAATATTTGTTGCTATGGATGCTGAGTCTAATGTCCACTTCATTGGTCTCAGAGCTCTTTATCTTTGTAAGGGCTGAATATGGTTTCAATTGATGTCACAGTGGACATTAAAAAGTCAAATTCAAAGGGAAGTGATCCCCACCCCAATAGTCATCTACCTTAAACTCGCATATCTGCGATAAAAAAACCTAGTGAGACCAAAATGTATTCAATAACAGTGGTGCCCCTGATTTATGCAGTAGCCAAATTTAATGCCAGTAGCTCACAAAGTAGAATTTTTGCTCACAAGACTTCACATCTTAGAGGGAGTATTGGTGCTGACACCAGCCCTGGCTGTCTTAGGCACAACTGAAGAAGACAGATCTTTTGTAAAGGTTGACATCCGATAGAGGCATTTCCCTAATTTGGGTTTTGTCATTGCAGGTCCTTGCAGGGATGAATGTCTACTCATCTGAATTTGAAAGAGTAAAGGAAGAATACGGCGTTCGGGGATACCCAACCATCTGCTACTTTGAGTCAGTTTTTTGCTTATTCCGCACGTAGATATTACCAAAACCCAAATCATTTATTTTTATGTTTCTTCTGACGTCTCTAATCTTATTTTATTGTGTTCTCAGAAAAGGAAAATTATTCTTCAACTTTGAGAATTATAGCGCTACAGCAAAGGACATAGCTGAATGGCTGAAAAAGTAAGTCTTTGGAGTGTATCTGCTCCATCTTTATAAGCACTGCATTTCCAGTAAACACTGCTGCTCTTCAGGAATAGCACGTCCAACCCACTACCCCAAAAGACAAATGAAACCTCAGCACTGATCTATTAAAGATAAATTCAGTCTGTCATTTGCTTTCAGTTTCTGTGCTTCCTGTTTTATACCTGTGCTATCTTGCCGGTTGCACTTCTCCATTATCTTTCCTGGGCATTGGGAGGATGTCATTGATCTGTGTCGAGGCTTCATTTAAAGCCTCAGACTTTTAAATTCTCATTGCTTTGTTGCACACACCTCCATTATGAGACAATTTCAGATGGGTCTGACTGACAGATTGTGAATGTTTCATTCCAGTGTCTTTGACAGGGGAGAGGCTTAATGGTCTTTTGGAATGATCGCCCCTAATCAAGAGGCAATGAGGTTTAAAATTTCTAGACCATAATCCAAAGGATGACACTGAGTTTCTTGTTGTTGATGTTTAATAACCCATTATTTTCACCAAAGCCAGCAGAGCTTTTTTTTAAAAAAACAGGGAAGAAAATAGCAGCAAACACAGGTTTTAGCTGAGACTCTTGTTCAGGAAGAAGATATCTTACAGGTGCAAGACTGACCCAGGCAGAATTGATTGATGCTAAGACCTTGGAGCAAGATCATGAGCATCATTAGCAGCATTTATAGATGTGTAATGGAGAAAGTTTGTAATTTGATGTTGAACTCAAAATGAAACACGGAAGCTTGCCTTTTTCTGAGCTACTTCACTTTGTCTTTTGTCTTTTTCTTTTTTGCTGTTTCTTTAAGCATCTGGTTTGGCGTGATTTTTTTTTTAAAAAAGGTGATGGTTTTTCTTGACTGCATAATATAGCCAATCAAGAATCATGTACGGAGCATAATGATATCATGATACCACAAAGTAAATCAGATTTGGCTATGTGGAATACCAGGAAGCCCAATCAGATATTAGGGCAATGGTTCCTGGCCTTATACTGAGTGGGAGATTTTTAAAATTTTGTTTAGCAGACCCACTGAATTATTATCAAACTGAGTCTAGTTTCACAGGCAGCAAAATTGTCCATGAAATATGTCTCTGGCTTTTTCTAAGCCATATTCAATACTAAATGTACAAAGCCATTCACATAAATTTCCTTAGTTATCCTTACTGGCAAGAGAAGCGACTGTACTGCCAATGGAACGAATTTCTAGGTGGTGCTGAAGTTGAAAAAATAGTAGAATACGATTACCAGAGCTCGATTCGGGGGGGATCGCAGTTCCCCCGGGTGAGGTGCGGGGGCGGGGCACACGCCGAAGCCCCACCCCCTGCTTCTGGTCACCCCGCTTCCAGCCCTCATTCAGCCAGGAGGAGGCAGGAGAAGAGGGAAGGTAAGTTGCTTCCTCCCTGCCTCTCCCCACCCCTGCCTGCCTGGGGCCAGGGAGGGCCTTGGCAGGGCTTCCCCCCCCCCGGCCTTGCAGGTCCACCGCCGGGCCCCTGATGTCAGGGGGTGTGGCATATGCTAATGAGTTATGCTAATGAGTTCCCCTAGCTCTTTTTCTACGAAACGACCCCTGACGATTACCCTGTGATTTCGTGGCTGAGCTGAGATTTACATAGGTACTCCTAGATGGGGCTTGGATCCAGTGGTCATTTCCTTCGCAGAAAGCATTTCCACCAGAGAATGGGGCTTTCTTGCCTTCCTAGTCTTGCAGCGCCTCAAAATGCTGTGGACAGAGGACCCCAGGACACAGAAGTGGTGAATTGGGGGTATGCAGAAAAGGGGGAGGGGATTGTTGAAAACTGTTTGGTTCTCAAAAATGTATCACTGGCTCCAGTCCCATAGGTGCTATTAAATATTGTGCTACGATAGATAGGTATTATCAATGACTTTGGTTTCAAATCAGGTTGAGTCCAGTGGCACCTTTAAGACCGACAAAGTCTGGTGTAGTGGTTAAGTGTGCGGACTCTAATCTGGGAGAACCGGGTTTGATTCCCCACTCCTCCACTTGCACCTGGCTGGATGACCTTGGGCAAGCCGTAGTTCTGATAAGAGCTGCTTTTGAAAAAGAGCCGTTTCTGGCAGAGCTCTCTCAGCCCCACCTACCTCACAGGGTGTCTGTTGTGGGGAGGGGAAGGGAAAGGAGTCTGTAAGCCCCTCTGAGACTCCTTTGGGTAGTGAAGGGCGGGGTATAAATCCAATCTCTTCTTCTTCTTCTTTTACCTCACAGGGTGTCTGTTGTGGGGAGGGGGAGGGAAAGGAGTCTGTAAGCCACTCTGAGACTCCAAGTGAAGGGCGGGGTATAAATCCAATCTCTTCTCTTCTTCTTTTACCTCACAGGGTGTCTGTTGTGGGGAGGGGAAGGGAAAGGAGATTGTCAGCCGCTCTGAGACTCCTTCGGGTAGTGAAGGGTGGGGTATAAATCCAATCTCTTCTTCTTCTTCTTTTACCTCACAGGGTGACTGTTGTGGGGAGGGGAAGCGAAAGGAGTTTGTAAGCCACTCTGAGACTCCCTTTGGGTAGTGAAGGGCGGGGTATAAATCCAATCTCTTCTTCTTCTTCTTCTTCTTCTTCTTCTTCTTCTTCTTCAACTTTTTTGGTCTTAAAGGTGCCACTGGACTCAGTCTTTGTTCTGCTGCTTCAGACCAACACGGCTACCCCACCTGAAACTTTGATTTCAAACGTGTAACAATGCAGGTGGGAATTTCCTCCCCATGTAATCACTTTGAAGCTGCCTTATACTGAATCAGACCATTAGTCCATCATAGCCAGTATTGTCTACCCTGACTGGCAGCAGCAGTCCGTGATCTCAGGCAGAGGTCTTCCACGTCACCTGCTACCTGGTCCTTTCAGCTGGAGATTCTGGGTATTGAAACTGGGGCCTTCTGGAGGCAAAGCCAAGGCTCTTCTGCTGAGCCACAGGCTCCTCCCACTTTCTTGTGTTCTACTGCCGTTCATTACTTGAAAATACATGTATTCATTTATAAGTATAGTGCGGACTGGTGTCATTTGGGATGGATTCATGCAGAAGAACAGTTGTAACCGTTATTTTTTGTATTCTTGTATAAGTGGAAAAAGCAGTGGGTTGCATGTACAGAATCAGCTTGCATGTCCCTAGGAAAATGGGGGTATCCAATAATCCATAGTTTGCCCTAAATGCTCTATAGCTAAGATGAGCGTACATAGAGCAGAGCTGGGGAGAGGTCATAATTTGGTATAATTTCCAGGGCTATTTTTGGGCAGGAGGAATGCACAGGAACGGAGTTCCGGCTGGCTTCAGAGTTGGCCACGCCCACTACAGCCAAATCCTCTGTGTGCGTGGCTACAGAGGGAAGGCCTGGAGAGCGACCCCCCCAAAAAACTCTGAGGTGGGCGGGCCAGGAGGGCTCTGGAAGGATTGGGGAGGCATTTAAATGCCTTCCCTGGCCTGTCCAAGGGCCAGCTTGCCCGGGCTCCCCGCAGCCGCAGGGCACCCGAGCAAGCCAAGGGAAGGGAGTTTAAATTGCCTCCCCTTCCCTCCAAGGGCCGGGTTGCCCAGGCTCCCTGCAGCCGTAGGGTACCCCGGCAAGCCAAGAAAAGGCATGGGGGTGTGGCCCAATATGCTAATGAGCTGTGCTGTCAGGGGTGTAGCCTAATATGCTAATGAGTTCCTGCTGGACTTTTCCTACCAAAAAAAGCCCTGATAATTTCCATACAGTATCCAGCCTGCTGTCTCTTACAATGTGGAATACTAAGCAGCACAGGGTGCTACTGTGCAGATCAAAGAGTGAAATTTCATCCCTGGCATTTATTTATTGCCTCTTTTGGTCTATTAAGAAAGCAAGTGCAATGAGTGCAGAGAGATATTCGTCACCCTGCCTTCCCCCAAGCAGTGGTGTATGCCTCCATCACCTGTACCTTTACTCTTTGCCTCTCGGCTCAGCAAGGATGCCCTTATCTCTTGGCTACCACATGCAGAACATCAGAAGTGTTTGAGTCCCCCCCCCTTTCCCCACTTCAGTCTGCCTACATTATAGTCTTATGATCCATGTAATATGCAGTGCTTTTATATCAGCGCTGTGACAGCTACTGAATGCAGCTAGTGTGTAAGGCAAAGAGGAACAGCTGCAGAATCATCCCAGTGATAATCTCCACTAACAAACCACTCTGGGCTTTGGCTGATATTTCAGCCATCCACAGCTAAAGACAGCTGTTTGTCCGCAATTAATTTCCAATGCACGGTGAATAGTTTCCCAAAAGGCAAAATGATGCAGCAGCTTTTCTTCCTTTCCTTTAAAAAATAAATAAATCAATATGGGGGGGGGAAATCATATTCAGAAACCCTGCTTTAGTTGGAAGCAGCCCATAATTGAGGCTGCAGTCATAATTTGTATACAGTGGAAACCTGGCACATGTGCCCAATGACGGCAATGAATTACTCAAAGGAATCTGTAGTATGAGTAGGCCAGTGCTCTGTGGCAGTGATTCAAGAAGGCCTGAAATGTATAATTGAAGAATGGTAGGACATATGTAGGCAGTGTATTAGAAATAAATCTAATTAAAAAGAATAACAAAAGCAAATAACTTTGTTAATTAATTCAGCCTCCTGTTACTGGCTGATAGTGGGGTTTTTTTTTTAATGAAACTCTTTTAGCCTGAGCTTCAAAGGAGCTCCATTGATTTCAGTGGGGCTCCTGCCTGCCATTGCCAGTGAGTGAAGGAGCCAAACATCTCCTGGTTAATTGTTTTCTGGGCTTTGTCTGTTCAGAGGACAGACAGACCTTGATTTCCCTTTTGAAAGAAAGATGGAGGAACAACATACCAGAGTCAAAATGAAGTTTAGAGGGAATCCTGGTTCTTGATATATTTTAGCACTTTATATGCAGGGGTTTTTTGGGGGGGGGGGGTCACATGTGTTTTCCCCAGAAGACCCATTCTTTGGGGCAGGTGCAAAGAAAAAGAAGACAAAAAGGCTGGTTTGAGTCGTCAGATTTACCTAACAGAAAAATAATGGGA